GAGAGAGAGAGAGAGAGAGAGAGAGAGAGAGAGAGAGAGAGAGAAGGAGACAGAGATCCAGTCCGCCGCCAGCCCGGAGAAAACTAGGCAGGAAAACAGATAACTACAGGGAAGGGAGAGGACTGAGGGCAGGGATGTGTGTGTGTGTGTGTGTGTGTGTGTGTGTGTGTGTGTGTGTGTTGGAGGAGACAAACCAGAGGTCCACACAGACCCAGGAAAAGGGGGATCTGGCAGAAAAAATGCAAAGAGAGGAACAGACTGAGGCAGGGGAACTTGGAAAGCCGGAGACACAAATGTCGTGAAAAGGGACAGAAAGAGGAGAGAGAAGAGTGATGGAGAAATCGCCTTTCTCTACCCTTTGCCCCAGTCATGGTGCTGAGAATGGAGGGGACCTTGGGCGCTACTGGCCCACTCCTTAGCACATGGATGAAGAAACAAAAGCATAGGAGGTGAAGTGACACAGGACACACTGGTGATAAGACTGGGGCTCAGTCAACCCCCTCCCCACCCAGGTCACACTTCCTTCCCTGTGTTCCAGCCCCTGGCTTATCTTAGCTGGCAAGATTTGCTGTGGCCCAGGGTACATGTGAGCCAATACTCAAGGGAAAGCCTTCTCTCTTGACACAGAGTTCCTTCCCAGGTTAACACCAGGCACTGGCGACTGGCTGAGACCACCTGCCCCATCTTGATTATCTATGGCCCTTGTCCTGCACCAGCGCGACAAGCAGGACTTGGGCTAGGCTGCATAGAAAACACAGGATACTACCTCAAAGCACAGGGGAGCAGGTGAGGATCTAGCTGAAATGGGGGCTGGGGGTGGGTGTCCAGACCTAATGACTCAATGACATCCTGGAAAAACTGGGACAGGGGTCCCTCTGCTTCTTTTTCTTCATTTGTCAACATGACGGTGTGTGTGTGTGTGGGGGGGTCTGTAGAGATGAAGAGGGAACCCAACCAGCAGTGTGAACTTGGGCAAAGTGTTACTGCCCCACTTGGAGCCTCATGTCCTTATCTCTTCCATGAGTTGTCATGGCAGATGATCCCTGGGGCCTTACTCAGCTCCAAACAGCTCCGGACATGGATGGGCTGAGAGAACAGAATGATTGGAATGCAAATCCCAGTGCCAAGGAGGGTCAAACAGCCCTTCACGGGACCCTGGCATAGGCCACATAGAGAGACATGGAAGAGGCCCAAACCCTGTGGCTGGGGAGGTAGCAAGCAAGGGAGGGCACCATCTGCCATGTTCTGGGCTGGGATGTCACTGCCAGACACCACTCTGTATCCAAAAGCACCTCAGAAGAGCTGAGAGCCCGTTCATTCCACAAGAATGCATCCTTGTGTCTTTCGGAGTATGCCACACTCACAATCCTAACCTTTACCTTGGTCCTCAAAAATGGGTCTGCTTTTACTTAGGACTGTTTTATAGATGAAAAAACTGAGGCTAAAGGCAATGCAATCACTTAGGGTCACTGCGCTTAGAAGAGACTTCCACGTCTTTGTTTCTCAAGCTCAGGCTATTCTCCTTAAGTTCTTGAGTCTCATTTCTTTTTCCTTCTCTAAAATGGGTTTGATCATCATGTATTAGTCTCCTGAGCAGTTAGCTTTAAGGAATCAAAGAAAACCATATGTGTGTGAGGAAGAACTTGAAACTCTTTGGTGACCTTTACTCTCTTAAGACTCGGGTGTCTGGATCCCAGCCTGACAGAGAGGACCTTAAATTCAAAGCACCCATGTCCCCTCTCGCGTGAAGGAAGGGCTTCAACTCTTTGAAGAAACAAACTGTTTTCCCTTGGCCTTGGACCCAGCCTGTTGGGTATTTCTGTCCCTGGCATTCTCTGGCTGCAGGAAGAAAAGTCATGCCCTTCCCAGCTTCCCATGGGTGGGGTACAAATTCAGCTCAGTGTGCTCTTGATGTGCTGGTTTCCGGTCAAAATCACCCCAGAAACCAGTTCTGCCACAGCCTGTCTGAATGTGCAAGCTGCTCCCTAGAGCCGGGCTTCGGAAGGAATGCTGTCCGGGTTTTCCCATTTCTGACTGCCAACCTTCGACTGCTATACAAATGAAAGACAATATTAAGTGAAAAAGCTTAAGGACAGGGGAAAAGCCGTCTTTGGGGCAGAACATTTATTATTAATTTTGATGGAGCTTGTTCTCACCGCTCTTGAGAACTCAAAGGACTTTTAGAGACCCTCTTGCTCAGCCTTCTTGTGTTCCAGATTAGGAAACGGAGGCTTGGACAGTAAGGACAGTAGTGAAGGTCCTGCCGTGAGTAGGATGGCAGCTTGTGCAACATCCATTAAGGGTGGGACCAGACCACCTATATTTCATGCCCTGAGTTCCAGAGGACAGCTTGGGTCTCCCCATCCGTCCTGTCCCTTGTGGAGAGAGGGTTGCAATAGAGGAGCATGCTGGCAAGAGTTAAGGTTTTTGGTTAGCCCCTGGAATAGCGGGGATGACCTCATCCATCTTCTTCCTGGTGATCTGGGTTGGGCTGCACCAAAGACTTGACAGCATTTCTTGGTTCCTTCTGTACTGGACCCTTGGACCTGTCCATGTCCACCCAAAGTCGACCTGTCTCTGTCCGTGTTTACTGCAGCATGAGAGGTCAGCCACTCCCTTGCCTGCTCCTCGAATTCCATATCCCTAAGTGGAGGGTTTGGACCAGAAAACATCAACATGGCTTTCACTTATAACATCCCATGACCTTCCCGGCCTGATTGCATCTGTTTACTCGGGCCTCTTGAGAATTGGGCAAAAAGGGAATAGCCACTTCTTTGAAGACAAGTTTCTGAGGAAAGAGACAGCAACAAGGTTAGGGTAAACTGTTTGGACTTTATCATTCCCTGTCATGCTTTATTGTGTACTAAACATTAGACACAGTCATTTCCAGTTGAACATGCTACTCCATCTGTCCGTCATCTCTGAACACATCTGTGTTCTCTCATGTTTCATGAGACTCCAAGGGCTTCGGGGCTCCCATCAGTTGGGATGCTGGTACCTCCTTGCCTCTTCCACCTTCTTATGCCATCCAGTTCAGGCTTTAAGACCCAACTCAAAGGCTCCTATCTCCATGAAACACTTCCCAGTCCCACGCCCATAAGAACAACCAGCTACTTTGTGCCCCTGTGGACTTCTGAGCTTCAATTCCTCTTGCCAAGTAGATATTTGCACTTATGACTTCCCCACTGACTTGATATCTTTTCCTGGGTAGAGAACCTTTTACAGTACTATTCTTTCCATAATACTTTGTATATCAAAGACACACTACACATTTCCTTAGGTCCTTGGGGCACAAGTCAAGACCCAGAACAGTCCTGTCTCTGCTGGATTTGCAGGCAGATTGAGTGATAAAGGGACTCAGACAGTAGAGTTTGGGGCAGAAAAACCTCAGCATCCTGCTTCCATGCCTACAGACAGGATGCTTCTCAAATGAGAGCAAGTCTTGCCAGGGAAGGGAAGAGCAAAGACAGAGTCAAGTGTCTGAAGGGCTAAGGAGCGTGTTGCATAGCATGAGGCTTGGGTCATGATGCTAATGCTCCTGGTGAATTGGGGGAAGCCTTCTGGCCTCTCTGCCTCAGTTTCTATTTCTGAGAAATAAAGCATTTGCTGTGTCCCAGTGATGCCCTTGTTCACTTTACAGTGATCAAGTATGTGAACCCGAGGGATGGAGGTACAGAAATGCTCCATTCCATTACTTCTGATCCCTGCAGCATGGACAGTTAGGTTGGAGGCCAAGGCAGGACCAGGGAGCTAAGCAGTGGAGATGCTGATCTGGAGTCAGACAAACCTGGTTCAAGGCCTGACCCATCAGTTATGAGCTAGCACAGAGCCTTGGGGAAGTTCTAGTTCATTTGTCTAGAGCAGACTATAAGCCCCCCTCCCCGCCCCGCTCCTTATAGGGGCCGGCTTTAGCTTTTTAGCACAACAGTCAAGACAGAGAAGGTACTATGGAAACTTTCCTTGAGCCCTTCCTGCTGGCTCCAGTCACCTGGGTGGGTTAGTGTGACCTGGGGTTTCATAGAAGCAAGCAGAGGCAGGGAAGGGGTCTAGAGTCATCTTGGTATCTGCCAGGGAAGGCCTGAGTAGTAAGGGGGCCAGGGTTCAGGACAAAGGCAGAAAAACAGGGATCGCTACTACAGGATGCCACACCAAAGTCATAGCCCTGGACGGCGGGTTGTGGGTGTGACTGAGGGGCTTCTTGGTGTCTCCGGAGGCAGTGAAGTGGGGGATTAACTTGACTTTCCAGAGCATAACTGGTCCCACAGCAACGGCTTGCATTTGTCAAGAGCCACTGTTTGTTTAACATCTCAAGCCCAAGTCAAACACAAAAGGCAAGTGTTAGCAAAGCCGAGCTCTGTGAGCTCTTGGGGTGGAACTGGGCTGGGAAGCTGAACACCTGGCTCACTCGGCCCTGCTCTAGCTGGGTTGTATGGCCTAGGGAAAAAGGCTACCTCGATCTGGGATGGTGAGGGCTCAGACTCAAAGGGTGCGAAATTCTAGCTCCTAGTAAGAGTGAGGACCAATTGGTCTCAGAAACCCTCCCAGGGAGCTCGGGCTTGCTCCTGATCACCATTTGCATAGATATTAGGTCCTCACCCTAAACTTCCTGTCCCATGCCTGATTGTCCCCTTCCCCCACTAGAGAGCCCTCCTTTCTCTGTCTGTATGCTACCTGCAGTGAGCACTCTCGTCTGTGGGTGTTCGAGGATGTGCTGGGAGCTGTGGCTAGGACCCACACCCAGAAGTGGTCCCAGTGTATCACCCCCCGCCCCATGTGTTCCTAAATCCTGCTGCTTGTCCTCAGCAGGTTGTCTTGGTTTTTCTTCTCCCTGGAAGTGTGGGAGCTTGCCCACTTCCTCCCCAGCATTGCTATTACTCACTTTCTGATTTCGATGCGATGTCCTCCCTGTTTCCAGGCTTCCCTATTTTCTCCATAGCCCCCTCCTTTTCTCCCTTTTCCTTTCTTCTTTAGATCTTCTGCACTTGAAGCAGGGACAGAGGATGGACTCAGCCATTACTGTGATCTCAGGCAGACGGCAAAATGTAAGACCCAGAAAAGAACGGTTACTCTTCTCCAGCCTGCCATATGTGAGCATGAGCATGCATGTATGCATGTGTGTGCAGGAGCCTGTGAGCCTTACTGTTTCAGCCTCTGTCCTGGTCCCCTCCCCATCCTCTATCTTCTAAGCCTTCACATTTTCCACTCTACCCATTCTCTTTTCTGTAATCAAATTACATAATCAAAGCCAGAGAAATGCTTAGATCTCTAGTATCTGTGTAGAAACTGAGACTTGACAAGGGGCAAGAATACCCTGAACGCCTTAAAGCACACAGGGCCAGAGCTGGGACTCATGCCCAGCTCTCCTGGCTGCCCTATCTATAGCCACAAGATAAGTTCCTGTACTTACCACTTTCATTGCAAGAATCAAGTCCCCAGATTGTCTTCCGGAGAGATCCAAGAGTGGCCATGGCCCATCTTTCCGGACAAACACGCAGCCGCTGAAGAAAAGAAAGGCCGGAGATGTCGTCAACAGCTCACAAATCTTGAAATCCTTCTTTGCAGGTTTATGGCTTCTGAGAAGCAGAGGCAGCCTGTTCTCAGCACCAAACACAATAATTATAATAGCACTCGCAATGATTAATCAGCCAGTGTGTATTGAGTGGTGCTGGGCAGGCAGGGTGTGTGTTCGTTCGTGTGTGTGTGTGTGTGTGTGTGTGTGTGTGTGTGTGTGTGTGATGGCAGGGGAACAGGCAAAAGTGGTGACTCCACTCCTACAAGCAGGCTGTGGATGTCTTTCTCCTTAATGGAAGAAGCTGAAGTGCTATCATAGCCCTTGTTGGAAGTGTCGTGTGGAGGGGAAGCTGAGACTGTTCAAGACCACAGTTGTTCTGGCTCAGATAGGATCTGGAGTTGTACAGGCCTATCCACTGAGCTCCAGACTGCATTGGAAGCAAAGAATTGACAAGCAAGAGTAGGTTCCGGGCCTGTCAACCAGATTAATGAGGGGCCTTTCCAGAATGATGTTCATGGCACAAGTGAGAGGACTTGGGATGTTCAGCCTGGAGAAAAATACAGGGGCCGTGTGAGCTGTCACCCCAGGAGGGATTAGCTTTGTCCTGTGGGGTCAAGAAGGGACCAGTGATCCATGGAATGATGCAACCAACAATCAGCACAGCATAAGATGGAGTGTTCTCCAGGCCTCCAGGAAGGCGCAGACTACCGGGCATGGCAATGCCCGTGTCAAGACCTCGTAGTCAAGAGGGCATGTAAGCTTAGTCTAATTGATCATTTTAGAAGCATTCTCGGAACTAGTATCATGCCTGGCACATAGTATGACTATAAGAAATGAGTGTATTGGGTTCAGGGGCTATACTAGATTCAAGTGGGTTCAGTCTAACATTTCTGGAGCAGTCTGTCTATGCCAGGCTCTTTATCCCTCCAGCCGGGAATGCTGTAACTCTCTGGCTCCCAGCCTTCAGAAGGGTTGCTCTGGGCTTCTTGCTGCTGAATCTCCTCAGTGATGTTTTCCCTTGACTACCCCCAAACCAACCCCAAAGCCCACCCACATCCACCCCACATGCTGCCACCTGCAGAGGTCCAATATGCAATATGCCCAGTAGCCCTGGGGCTTCAGCAAAGGAAATGGGCCTGTGGCAGGCTAATTACTGGGAGCTGATTCTATTAAGTAGATAGCTCGCTCCCAGCAAAGCAATTACACCTAATCAGCCCCTTGCAGCAGCCCAATGGGACAGCCGTGTGAGCCAGACACACGTGTGAGCAGGGACACCAAAGCAGCCTGGGAACAGGCCTGGCAGGATCTTCTGAGGCCAGGGATGCTCCCAAAGTGGTCTCAGGTTACCTTGAGGCCCAGGCACGGTGGAAACAGCACTGTGGTGGGGGTGGGGGTGGGGGAGACTCAAATCTCTGAGCCGAGACTGAGCTCTGTTACAGAGGAGCTGAACTTCACCCAAGGGAGCACATCTCAGACTTGTGTCTTATGTTCCACGTATGTCAAACGAACAGATCAGACTAGAGAGGACCCATTCCAAGCCTGAACCTCTAGTCGGTTAGATTCTCATCTAGATTAGAGTAATTTGAAAGAAATCTGTTTGATGAGTTAGAGAGACAGCTCAGTCGGTAAATCTCTTGCTTTGCAGGCACAAGGACCTGAGTTCAAGCCCCACAACCTATATTAACAAAAAGCAGGCAGGATAGTGCACGTTTGTAATCCCAGTGCTGGGGATGTGGAGATAAATGAATCTTTGGGCCTCACTGGCCAGCTAGTTTAGCCTACTGAGTGATGCCCAAGCCGGCGAGGGACCCTGTCTCCACTCAGTGAGGTTCAAGCCAGTGAGATCCCGTCTCTACTTTGTGATGTCCAAGCCAGTGAGAGACCCTGACTCAAAACAAAAACAATAAAACAAATGAATAGTGTTGTGAAAATGAATGACGATAAAAGATGTCCTCTGGCCTCTACACCAGCATGGTGCATACACACATACACACACACATTCTCTCTCTCTCTTAAAATATTCAAACATGGGAATGCATATTCAGGATTCAGTTATTTAGGCTATGTTCTAAGAATTTATTTATTTTTATCTTATGTGTGTGAGCGTTTGTCTGCATGTCTGCATGTATGTATGTATGTATGTGCACCACGTGTGTTTGTGCGTGATACAGAAGAAAGTGTTGGATCCTCTCGAACTGACGTTTTAATGGTTGTGATCTGCAGGGTAGGTGCTGGGAACCGAAGCTGGGTATTCTCCGACGGCAGCATGTGCTTTTAACTGATGAGCCACTTATCCAGCCCCATCAGACCAGGTTTTCAAAAAGAGTTGGAATATTATATATTTAGAAATATATTCTGTTTATATTCATATTTTTATCTAGAAATTTTATGAAACGAGTTCTCCCCAAAACAACCTTGTTTTTTTTTTTTTTTTTAAGCCACAGTTTGATGACACCTGGGTCCCAGATTCATCAGGAAAGTAGAATCAAGTTCAGGTATGAAGAAGCCATGGGGAAGGGTTCTGGAAGTGAAGGGTAAGCAAGATGGAGCACAAGGGAGATTCTGGCCATCCAGTGGCTATCTTTCCACTGGTTCACCCAGCGCTTTCCTTTCCCTATGGAAAACTTCCCTTTGAGAGGATTTTGATAGTATCAGGATGATGAGGAGGGAGTTTCTGAAACATCTGTCCCTTCTGGCACTTAAGTTCTGGGGCTCTGGGCTGGTACCAAGTTATTGGTGTGACCCAAACTCAACAGATGAGCCGACCAGCAGAAATTGGGGGGGCGAGGGCAGGGGACAGGAGGCAAAGAATCTCTGTGGCGAGCCTGCGGGGAAGATGCCTTTAGCTCTGGGGTCTGGGGCTGCTCTCCTGGGCTAGTTCCTCTGCCCTAATGGTCATAATTATGGTTTGGGGAGCAGGGTGGCCTTGCAGGAGCTGACCATGGGGCCACCTGGCTTCCTGTTTCTTCTGGCCTTGGTGATCTCAGATGACTGGTGCCCATGCAATTAGACAAGGGCCTTGGTCTGTCCTCTGGGAGGAACTCACCGGCTTATCAGCAGCCAATGTCCTTGTGAGGCCACAAGTGGGGGGAGTGGGGAAAAGCAACCTTGGCTGGGGTCGGGCCTGAGGAGAGCTGGTTCCCTTGGGTGGGACTGAAGGGAGACAAGGGAGAAGGTGGCAGGCTGAATCAGGTTTGGGCTTGTGGCTCCTCAGCAGCTGCTCACCACTTTCCAAGAGAGCGGCTGTGAAGAGGAGCCCACTTTGTTCCCATCTGCCTCCACTGGTGACAGACGCGAAGGCCAGCCTGAGAGGCGGGTGGTACCTTGAGTGCAGCTAGGGAAACCTTGACTGCTACCTGGAGGCTGGTGAACAGAGAAAGGGTATGCTGGGTACCTGACAGGGGCGCCACACATGGAGAGCATGGCCTTCTTGGCTCTGTCAAATCCCCAGAGTGATCTCACCCCCTTCACCTTACCCTGTCTCCCCGAAGGCTGTTTGCTCTGCTACTCCTTTTTTTTTTTTTGCCTTTCTGCTAAATGTCTGGGTCTCTTTCTTGTCTTTATACCAGAAACACATGATACTAGGTACATACAGGCATCTGCTTGGTGCTCCTGACCATACAGGACTGCGACCACCCCTGCTCTGTAAAGGAAGACGCAGAGGCTCCTCCAGGAGCAACTTCTTAGTTCTTACGGGGAACCAGGATTCAGTCCTTGATCAGTCTGCCTCTAGCTTTTGCTTTTCGGCCATGCTCCCTCACTAGAAAATGACTGAGGGCAGAGCCAGGCAACAACAGGGGAATCAGAACAGAAGGCGCTGCTAACGCTGGGCTGGCATACAGCTAGAGCTCAGAAAAACACTGTCACATGAATGAATGAGGAGCTCTGAACGGAAGGCGCCGGGCAGGTTTGGGGACTCGGCATCTGGATTTGCCATGGATGGACAGATGCTCCACTTCAGGTGGGAAGCGGGTCCAGGGCCTGGTGACGCTGGCTCACATGGGAACTTGGAGAGAAGACTATCAGGGAACAGCTCTAGACCCATTGAAAGTGGAGATGAGGAAGGGGGGTAGCGCTATCCTGGCACAGCGCTCGGGCACCCGGCCCAGGCAGGGACTCAGAAGGTCTCCGTGTCTGTACAGAAGCCAAAGGATATTGTTGGGGCTTTGAGCTGGTGCCTGGAGGAAAACTGTGTGCATCCAGGGCCCTCAGTGACCTGAAGGGGATGGGACCATCCCATCCATTTGGGCCAAGGCTACCATGAGGAGGGAGGCACAAGGTGGGGGGTGGGGGAAGACCCAGGCCATGAGTTGCATAGATCTCTGCTTGTCCGGAGATGGTGTGGTCCAGTGAGTCGTGGAAACCACAGCGTGTCAGGGAGATGGAGGTCAGCTGGGAGGCAGCGCTCAGGCAGAAGGGCACAACACCATCAGGGAGATGGAAAAAGTGATGTCGTTAAGGAACAATGTGAGCCAAAGGAATGAGCTGTAACTGGCTGGATCTGAAAGGACAAGTGGGGGAACGGCTGCCAGACGCCCATGGGTGTCTGATGATGGCCTGCCACTAGCCCCAAGGCTTAGATGGGAGTTACCCAACAGGCCCCATGGTCCTTCTCTGCCCCTAAAATCAGCCCCTGTACCCCTTGATCTGTTAATCAATGCATGATAAATCGAGTCTCAACAGACCTGTCCAGAGTACACTGCCCTGATTCTCCAGAGAAGATCCCATTGGGCAGCAGGAAGCTAAAGGGTATGAGTTCTTGGTTCTGCAGGGTGGTCTGAGTCCTCCTTTTGCCCAGCGTCCAAGAGGGGAATCCTTCCCCAGAGAATGAGACAAGGAAGCCACCGACTCAGGCCTCTGCTCCCTCCTTTGATCAGAGCTGTGAAAGACCAATCCAAACCTCCAGCTCAAAAGCTAGCCTGAGGCTGAGGAGATCTGTCTGCAAGAGGGACTCCTTGGGTCTGTCCTGGAGTGGTGGGTTGTGGGAGGCCTGAGCAGAAGGCTCATAGTGCTGACAAGTTTAGAATCTCTTATGAGTGGTGAAGGGAAGGTGTGGGGTGAAACCTGAGCTGGCCCAAAGTCTTCCTAACAAATGGCGAGGAAACAGAAGCCTAGAGCGGCCAGATTAATATGACCCCAGCACGTGGATTTCATTGAGCTCAGGTCCCACTTTTGTTTCTTCATAAGAGAAATCTTTGCACAGCAGAGAGAAGAGGGGGCCTCCCATGATGGTCAAAGTGCCAGCTCGAGCAGAGACCTGAATGGACTTTGGCAGTCTAGAGAAGCCAGAACACACTTGTTCGTTGGAGTCAGTTTCTGGGACCATGATTACCATGCATTTGGGCCCCATCTAGTCTCACATTGCCCTGTGAAATACAATATCTTCATGGGGGGGGGTCTCATCTGGTATGTGGGGACAAAGGAGCTTGTAGGTTTGAAGGAGTGGGGCTGTAAAAGGTAGCTGACCTCCAATGCCTTGACTGGGGGAGACAAATGGCCACACCAAGGCGTCTGTCTATCTGCCCATGGGACAGACAGAAGTGTGCAGACTTCCTTCTTCACAGGAGAAAGATGACTTACTCAGACAGTAGACGGAAGTGGCAGTGCCTTGTCATTGTCCCTACAATACTCTGTGGTCTCTCTCCCCTCTGCACACCTGGAGGTCCCCATAGAAAGCTGTGGTTGTCCCTCAGCTGCCGGGACAGGCCCCTCTAATGGTTCCCCTTATCGATCCTGTCTTGCCACCAGGGTCTGAGCCCTTTGTCTCTTGAGCCAGGCCAGTTATCTTTCCAACAGGAGGATGAAAGACAGAAAGGGACACTTCTGGACAGAAACGGAAATAGAGCAGGGAACTGAGGCTTGAAACTGGCCTGAGCCTAGGCCAGGTTCCGGGCATCACTGTCCTCAGGTCTGCAACACTGGGCTCTAGAGCTGCAGGGTAGGCAGCAGGCGGAGAATCATTGCTCTGTTTCTTAAGCTCCCAGCTGGAACTAGGAACACCAAATCCTCTTTGAATAAAACAGAAAAGGGATTAATAAAAATCAAGACATTAACCTTGTGAAACCGGACCCCTCACCCCCGCATAGAGATTAACTTCTTCCCCCAAGCTTTTTTTTTTTTTTTTTCATTTCTATAAACATCTTAATTCATGCGGACATCACAGCCAGCCTGGATTACAGTTGGATGTAGAGGTGAATGAACTTGTCTCAGATACACACACACACGTACACACACACGTATACACACACACACAAACATGCACATACACACGCACACACCTGGAGCAGGGGAAAGGACAGTGAACAAGATGCTGAAGAGCCGGGGTTTATTTCCAGAGTTCACTTTCCTCATCTATAAATGGGGCAGTTAGATTATACTTCCACTTTGTCCCCTCTGGAAACTCTGATGGCCCATTTCCCCAAAGTACTCTATGCTGCAGAAACGTCAACTCTCACCCACACCCATGGAGGCACACCATATCCACAAAGGTTCACTTCATCCCCAGCTCTGCATGGCATTCTCCTTTCTAGACCACAGGTTCCAAGCTGTGACGGGAACAAGCTACCAGGGACCCTTGCTCCACAGGTATTGGCGAGTAAATGGGCAGATAGTTCCGGAAATTGCTCTGTGAGTACACTTGGAATGGGGCTCAGGGTCTTGCTTGAATTCTGAACCCAGATCTTGAAATAGAGTCACTCTCCTCTTGAGGTGAGGAACACCTGGCTTTTCTGGAACGTTCTCCCTATGCCCTCCTGACTTCCGAGAGATTCTCAAAGCCTCATTTCTCTTGAAACCTTCCTTCGCCTTGCCAGCAGCGTCACCCCAATCAAGCACCAGATTTTCGATGCACGTTTTTGGTTCTTCCTCCCACCTTCCCTGACGAGTCCAATCACTCCCGTCCCTTGATTACGCTTCGGTTGGAGGCTGCAGCCAGCTGCGGTTATTCTCAACTCTGGGTGGCAGTGAGGAGGAGGGTCATTATGGGGGAGTCTTGCCTCAGTGGAGAGAAAGAGACAGGTGCTGGGTTCCTCCACGGTTTTGGGGGCTGGGGTAGAGGTGGAACTCTTACAGGGGTCTAGCTCTGGTTGGGTCAAAGGTCAGAGAACTCCCACTTGACTTTCATTTTGGTCAGCAGGCCTCAAAAGTATGCTCAGAGGCCAGCGTCCCCTGAGGTGTTCTGTGGAAGAAAGAAGCTCAGGCTCAGATACGTTTGGGGAGCTGAGCTGCTCCCAGCCTTTGATTGCAAGCTGCAGAAGTCAACTCTCCTAATTTAAGCTCAGAAACGATGTATTCCAAAGACCTTAGATAGTTCAAAGAACCTTCTGTAGGATCAGAAAGCCAAGGTCAGGAGGGAAGCAGCCAGAAGCAACACTCAAGGTCACATGGTAGGACTGATCCCAGAAAGGCCCCATTGCGGTGCAGACACTGTAGCTTGGGCCACCAGCTCCGTCAGCACCGGTACTGCCTCTATACCCACCACTGCTGCCACCACTTCTGAAGATAGGCTGCCATGGCCGCCGCCACGCCTACTTCTGTGTAACACATTCTGCAGGGTCCCTCCTTTTTCTGCACTTGGTTCTTCTGGGGGAAGGCAACTTATTGGTGGAGTGAAGTCATGGACCTGCCCCCTACATTCAAGAGAAGCTGGGGCAATGAATTGATTATTCCAGCTCCTGTACCTGAAGGCAACCTCTGTCTCTGAACACAGGAGACATCTTCAGGCGTGGGTGTGGTGGTTTGGATGGGAATGACCCACATGGGCTCAAAGGTTTGAAGAGTTGGTCCCTAGTTGGTCAAACTGTTTGGGAAGGAGCAGGAAGTTTGACCTGGTTGGGAGAGGTGTGTTACTGGGGTCAGGTTTCCAAAGCCACGTGCTCTAACAGTTGAGCTTCGTGCTTCCTGCGTGCGAACTGAGACTGAGACGTTGCTCTAGCTGTCTGCCTTCTTGCTGCCGCAGCTCTGCCATCTTGGACTCTAACCCTCTGGAACTGTAAATCCAAAATAAACTCTTCCTTCTGTGATGTGCCTTGGCTGTGGTTTTTTCTCATAGCAATAAAAGCCAACTGTTTGGCCAAGGAGAACGTGTGCTGGGTGGCCTGAAAGAATGAAGATCAGGCCCGGGGAGATGGCTCAGTTGGCAAAGTACTTACCTTGGAAGCATGAGGACCTGAGTTCAAACCCAGTTCCATGTAAGGCTTGGAATCATCATGTGTTTGTAAGCACACCCCTGGGGAGCTGGAGGTAGCTGGGCCCTGAGGCTCACAAGTAACCTATTTTGTTTTTGGAGCTTCAGGCCAATAAGAGACTCTGTGTATTAAGAGGAAGAAAATGAATGGCATCTGAAGAATGACATTTAAGGTTGTCCCCCTGGCCTCCACACACTCTCATGCTCACACAAAGAATACGTATTCACTACACCTGGACCCTAGACGTCGTCTTTGGGAACTCACAGTGCCATGGGACAAGGCTTTTCGACCTCAGTCAGCACTGCTGGTGTTCCGGACTGCTTGTTTCTTGGTTGTAGGCTAGCCTACACGTTATGAGGTTAGCAACTTCCTGTACTCTACTTCCTGCTGGTTGTTGCAGCTAAAAATGTCTAAACACATCAACAAATATCTCGTGGGGGACAGATTCCCTCCCAGCCGAGAACTGCCATTTATGAGATCTGCAGGGAGCTTGCAATAATATATCTGAGGAATCAGGCTGGTTTTCTCTGATTTTTTTCCTAAATGTTTCCCCTCCAACACTCTGACTTTGTTTCATAGAAGTTACTTTAGGAGTAGATGGTTGGCAGCTGGGACCGTGG